ACAGTAGTTATGATTCATACAGTTGCTGCTAACACTCAATTAGTGGATACTAAACCATTGTTCCTAAAGGAAATATAGGGTTAGGTTCCTGCAAGCCTCTGATCATTTCATTAACCAGCCAATACATGACCTTGTTTTATGTGTGTTTAGGTATAAAGATATCTTACTTAATGTTTAATTTTGAAATATATACTGTTGATTTATTAACATTGAACTCATGGCTGCCAGCACAGTAACTCATGCCTAAGCAAAGATCATCTAACATATGAATTTTCTCCACAGGACACAGCACAGCATCTTGTGCTTGGGAGCAGTAGACAGCATTTCAGCACTCCACTTAGGGGCCATTTCACACAGTGAAATCACCAATAAAAACACAAACACAAGAATGAAAAAAAATGGCACTGAATTGACTGCAAAAATGACACTTGTTCAAGATCTGAAACTAGAAGGCAGGGCATCACCATGTTTGACTTCAAATGAAAATGTGCACATTGATGACAAGATTTTTGCTGCACTGCACATCTGCACATAACCACAAAAGCACCATGAGTACCACTTTTGAGGTTCTAGATAAATTTTAGTAAGTAGGTAAATTTACAAATATGAAATGTATTATAATAATCATGATCAACTCTATGTACATAAATTCAAAAAATTTCCATGACTCCTGGAATATTTTGGAGTGTCATAAGAAGAAGAACTTTGACTTTTTTTTTTTGAGATGAAGTTTTGCTCTTGTTGTCCAGGCTGGAGTGCAATGGCATGACTTCGGTGGCTCACTACAACCTCCACTTCCTAGGTTCAAGTGATTCTCCTGCCTCAGCCTCCTGAGTAGCTGAGCTTACAGGTGCCTACCACCAGACTTGGCTAATTTTTTTGTATGTTTTTTAGTAGAGATGGGGTTTCACCATGTTTGTCAGGCTGGTTGTGAACTCCTGATCTCAGGTAATCCACCTGCTTCGGCCTCCCAAAGTACTGGGATTACAGGTGTGAGCCACTGAGCTTGGCCTAGAATTTTGACTTTCAACTTTGTTTATTTCAAAACAATTGGAAATGCAAAAGTATGCTGTGTGTCAAAGATAGGTGAGCTGAAGATTTGGGACAGAAATAGGTGCTTTTGACAATCTTCTTTAACCAAATACTAAAAATTTTATAAAAAAGAACTTCTGATCTCTCACCACATTTTAACAATGAATGATTTTTTGGAGGGGTTGCTTTTGATAATTAAAAATAATATAATTTGGAAAACAAGATGGAAAGATGATAGTACCATTGGTTTTCAATCAAATGTTTTTACAGTTTTTCATTGTTTGAGTGTTCTTTTTATGAGTGACCCAGGATTGAAGTCAGCAATTCCTTATTTGTATAAGCTAAAAGTCAATGATTAGATGTAATGATACTGCCTAAGATGTACTGGACACTCGCTGTGTCCAGGCTACATGATAAGCTCTTTACATTCATGACTGCATCTCTCATCTTCATAATAAAGCTTGTGATATTGGCACTACTATTATTCTCATTTCATGGTTAAGAAAACTGAAGCTGAGGTTTGGAAGAAACCTGTTCAAGCTCCTTGAGCAGGTGGGGCAGCTGGAATTGCAGGTGTTCTGATACAGAGCCAGCACTGAGCCTAACCCTCGATGTCCAAAATATCCTCTTCCAGCCTACACTTAGGAGAAGATTTGCCTTTGCAGCTGTTTCATCTAGATATTGAGAGTGTGTTTGCAGGTTATGATGTATGAATTATTAATTGTCCTTGTTAAAGACACATTTGGGTGACAAGTAATGATTATTCTGATATTGACAGTATATTATAATGAAAATGTTGTTGAAGGCTCTGCGCAGTGGCTCATGCCTATAATCCCAGCACTTTGGGAGGCTGAGGCAGGTGGATCACAAGGTCATGAGATTGAGACTATCCTGGTGAAACCCCATCTTTACTAAAAATACAAAAATTAGCTGGGTGTGGTGGCACGCACCTGTAGTCAGCTACTTAGGAGGCCAAAGCAAGAGAATCACTTGAACCCAGGAAGCAAAGACTGCAGTGAGCTGAGATTGTGCCATTGCACTCCAGCCTGGTGACAGAGTGAGACTTTGTCTCAAAACAAACAAACAAAAACAAAACAAATAACAACAACAATAAACGTCGTTGAAGTGCCAGCTATGTGGCTTTGGCTTCATTTAACCTTTCTGGGCCTCATTTTCCTCAGCTGCAATGTAACAAAGTTTCAGTAAATTATTCCTTAGGGCCCCCTATGATTCTGTAAGGCAACAATAATAATAAAGCCCAATACATTTCTAAGAATGAAAGTTAATACAATTAAACAAGAATAAGAAACCAGCGAGTGAATTCTTTTAAAATAGATTTCCTTCAGCCTTGAGAAGATTTGGGACATTAAGGCTATGCTGTATGTTCTTTAAAATATCAAAAACAGAACATCATTTCTTGTCTTCGGTTTAAACGTTACTTCTCACCCATCACTTAAATAAGCTTTCTCATCAGCGGTTTCCTGCTGCTTTTGTCTTTATAGTAAAACGCAAAGGCAACTGACCAGAAATTTCAATTAACTATTTGCCATTTGTTCATTTATCAATTTTGCTGCATTCTACTCTTAGGAGGTAGAGATAAATCACAAGGCGATAAGCTGCCATTGGGGACTCTCCTTGAGAGAAGTTGCAGGCAGTTTAATCTACCCCATTTTCTCTAGCTCCTTTTTAAAGAAACATATTGTATTAATCATTCTCTTCAATAATGATTCTAGAAGAACTACAAAATTCTAAGCAGTAAAAAATAATAATTCCCACATATTTCCTAATCTCTACTGGCTAGTGCAGGAAAGTGAAGACGGACTAGGCAGAGCTGGTGACTTAATCCCTGTAGGTCCCCCTCCTGTCCATCATGCTCCCACAGGGTGGAGGGTACTAGCCCCTGGGAGACACTGACTAAATATCATCCCGTGAATAAATGACTCCAAAGAAGAATGTGGACTTGCTGTTCTTTTACTTTTATAACTTTTTCTTTTCTTTCCTTCCTTCTTCTCTCCCTCCCTCCCTATTTCCTTCCCTCCCTCCCCCCTCCCTCCCTCCCTCCCTCCCTTCCCTCCCTATTTCCTTCCCTCCCTCCCTCCATCCCTCCCTCCCTTCCGTCCCTATTTCCTTCCCTCCCTCCCTATTTCCTTCCCTCCCTCCCTCCCTCCCTATTTCCTTTCCTTTCCTTCCCTTTCCCTTTCCCTTTCTCTCTTTCTCTTTCTCTCTTTTTTTCTTTCGAGATGGAGTCTCACTCTGTTCCCCAGGCTGGAGTCTAGTGGTATGATCTCTGCTCACTGCAACCTACGTCTCCTAGGTTCAAGTGATTCTCCTGCCTCAGCCTCCCAAGTAGCTGAGGTTACAGGCTCCCGCCACCGTGCCAAGCTAATTTTTGTATTTTTAGTAGAGGCGGGGTTTTACCATGTTGACTGGGCTGGTCTTGAACTCCTGACCTCAGGTGATTCATCTACCTCAGCCTCCCAAAGTGCTGGGATCACAAGAATGAGTCACTGTGCCCAACCTTTTATTGCTTTTTCTAATTGAAATTTTAACTGAGTCCATTGCAGAATCACATGTAGCTGTAAGAAACTGGACAGAGAAATCCCCTGTGTATTTTGCCCAGTTTCCTCAGTGGAGACATTCTGCAAATCTGGAGTACAGTACACTACCAGGATATTAACACTGATACAATCCACTGATCTTATTCAGATTTTGTACTCTTGTATGTGTGCAAATGTGATTCTGCACTATTTTATCACCTGTGTAGGCCTGTGCATCCACCACCACAATCAGGATAATGAATCATTCCCTCAGCAGAAGAATCACTCATTTCCCTTTAAAAATTTTTTTTTTAATTTTTGAGAGGAAGTCTAGCTCTGTTGCCAGGCTGCAGTGCAGTGGCATGATCTCAGCTCACTGCAACCTCTCTGCCTCCTGGGCTCAAGCAATTCTCCTGCCTCAGCCTCCCGAGTCGCCAGGACTACAGGCTTGTGTCACCATACCCGGCTAATTATTGTATTTTTAGTAGATATGAGTTTTCACCATGTTGGCCAGACTGGTCTCAAACTACTAACAAGTGATCTGCTCGCCTTGGCCTCCCAAAGTGCTGGGATTACAGGTGTGAGCCACCGTGCCCGACCCCCTTGTTTTCCTTTTCCAATCACACCTCTCTTCTTTCCACTTCCTTCCTGTCCTAGTCACTAATCCTGGATACCCACTAATCTGTCCTCAATTCTAAAATGTTGTCATTTCAAAAATGTTGCATAAATGGGATCATTTAGGCATGTAACTTTTTGGGATTGGCTTTTTTTTCCCCATTGGCAAAATTCTCTAGAGATTCATCCAAACTGTTTTGTGTATTAATAATTTGTTCTTCTTGAGAGAGAGATCCAAGATGGCTGATCACTAACAGCTCAGGATTGTAGCTCCCAGTGAAAGCTCAGAGAATGAGAGGACGCCACACTTTCAGACGAATTTTCGTTGCTCACGGACCAGCAGATTTCTAGTGGAGGAGCCCCACGGGTCGCCAGCGCAACTCTTGTGGCCGGCGCCTTGGTGCGGCAGCTCTTCATGCAGAGTAAACGGGACTGGTTGCCTTACTGACCGGTGTTTGGAGCTCTGGGAAGGCAGAGCCACTTGTTGTGGACTCAAGAAGGAAGCCAGACCAGAGATTCCCGGGCAGAAGAGCACCATCAGTCTTATCGCTGCTATTTTGGCTGGCGCAGTGGGTTGCTTGAATCCCAGCACTGGGAATCAATAAATTGGACGTCGACTCAGAAATCTAATTAGAAAGGTGGTAATTGTAAAGATGACAGATGGATAAATGTATAATAAGGGGGAAAAACCAGCCTAAGAAGGCCGAGCATACCCAAAATCAGAACCCCTCTCCCTCTACAGGGGATTGCAGTTCCTAATCAGCAATGGAACAAGCCCTGATGGAAAAGGACTGTGTTCCATTATCTGAAGTAGGCTTCAGAAGGTGGATGATAAGAAACTTCTGGGAATTAAAAGAACTTGTTCTAACCCAATGTAAAGAAACTAAGAACTTTGAAAAAAGGTTTGACGAAATGCTGAAAAGAATAGACAATATAGAGAGGAATATAAATGAACTGATGGAGCTGAAAAATACAACACGAGAACTTAGTGAAATATGCACAAGTTTAAATAGCAGAATGGATCAAGCAGAAGAAAGGATATCAGAGGTCAAAGACCAACTTAATGAAATAAAACAACAAGACAAGAATAGAGAAAAAAGGATGAAAAGGAATGAGCAAAGTCTCCAAGAAATATGGGACTATGTGAAAAGACCCAATCTACGTTTGATTGGTGTACCTGAATGTGATGGAGAGAATGAATCCAAGCTGGAAAATACTTTTCAGGATATTATCCAGGAAAATTTTCCCAATCTAGCAAAGCAGGACACTATTCAACCCCAGGTAATACAGAGAACACCACAAAGATATTCCTCAAGAAGAGCAACCCCAAGGCACATAATGGTTAGATTCACCAGGATCGAAATGAAGGAGAAAATACTAAGGGCAGCCAGAGGGAAAAGCCAGGTTACCCATAAAGGGAAGCCTATTAGACTTACAGCAGATCTCTCAGCAGAAACCCTACAAGCCAGAAGAGAGTGGGGGCTGATATTCAACATCCTTAAAGAACAGAACTTTCAGCCCAGAATTTTATATCCTGCCAAACTAAGCTTCACAATTG